AACTTACATTTACATATGATAAACTGAAATACCGCAATTCATAAAAATATCTAATGTAAATATAATCATATAAGCACATTTCAATGGCCAGAATATGAATGATGCATGCAGAAGGAAAAAAAAAAGTTGAAATTTTATAAAATATTTCCCATAATGAATTCTCTAAATTCAGTTCAATACATAATGTATCAAATCAAATTTATAAGCGAAGTAAAGAAAATGGTAACAAAAAAAAAAAAAAATGCGAAAAATGATTGATGTAGAAGTGATAACATGATTGAACAAAGAGATGATAACAATCAACTGATATCACTTATTAATCAAATCTACTGTAGATCATAAAAAGCAAGAAAGAAAGCAAAAAAAAAAACAAAAAAACAAAGAAAAAAATTAAAAGACATACAAAAGCAAAAGTTATCAGGGTTGATTCGTAAGCGGAATATTACACATTAAACTTATTTGTTCGATGCTTTGTTAGAAACAAAAAAAAAAAGATTTCTAATTAAATTAAAATAATCACTATTGTTTTGTTTGCAGTACAAATATTATTTTGAAGTTAAAGATAGGGGAAGAGTAAAAAAATATTGATTAAAGAATTATTGGTTAAAAGTAGAAAGAAAAGATAAAATCATTTAATTTAAAAAAAAAAAAAAAAAAGGATTATTAATTTACTTAATAAACCCATAAATTTATTATAAAAATCTATCAATTTGATAATTTACAACGGAAATTTTTAATTTACATCAAATAATAACAAGTAATGACAGTAATGCGTAAAACAATGCACTGTTTAAAAGCAAAAAAAAAAATTACACTTTAAAATTATCGTTTCAATCAGCGAATAATTCCTTTTTAAAGAAAGAAAAAAAAAATGGATGAAAGAAAAAAAGTAATCATTAAATGAAATTTTTATAACTCTATAAATCATTTTTATCTACTATTCAAGAACAAAAAAAAATTTTTGCATTAGAAAGTTAACACTTTGAGCAAAGTATTCATTGAGAAGTAACATTGCTATGAAATATTGAAATTAACGTGTAAAGCACGTACGTGATACGTACGTGAAAATTATGTACTAACTTATTATAATCACAAAGTTCGTCCAAAGAAGGCATACACTAATTTATTTTGTTTTTTCAGCATTTTCTTAGATGCAAATTAATTTAATGAAAGCTAAATTTGCAATAAGTGAATATTTGTACGATGAGTTGATGTTAAGAATGTTATAATGACAACATTCCTATTCAAAGCTCATTTAATGTCATACCTAGATATCATCACCTGACTAAGCTAACGGCAATTTAATATAGTCAACAAAATGCACAAGGTAATTTGCAATCTTATTATATGCTACTATGATTCAATAATAAATTAACCTGAAGGAATTCTGGGAAAGGAACTGAAAAAATAAAAATAAATATTCAAATATTCTTTTTTATGAGAAAAATTTTAGGAAATAGCTAACATTGAAGTATGAAAATTATTCTTTGAATATATCATCTCTATTAAAAAAAAAATAAAGAAATGCTAGCAAGTAAAACTGTATGTAACGAAAAATAAATGAAAGATATCTTTTTTTTTTTTTTTTTTCAAGTTGATGTAATTTTAGTCGAACTGAATGAGATCGAATTGCGTCAACTTTTTTTTTTCTGAATTGACTGGTTGTACATATTGTTATTATATATGCATCTATTGCTAAAAAGTATTTCATATTTTAAAACAAAAAAAAAAAAAATAATATTTTTTCTTGAAAAGTTTATAAATATTCACTGTCGAAAAAAAATTTTTGAAGTTTTATGAATTTAGATTAAAATGACGAATTAAACTAGAACTAATTTTAAATTACCCCTTGATCAATGTGGATAGAAAATGACGAGTTAAACTAAAGATAATTTAAAGTTTTGCTGAAATCACTGTCTAAAATTGAAAAAAAAAAAAAACATGTATGAAAATTTCACACTAATTTCAAGCATCTTTGGAAAATTTTTCTTAAGAAAATTTCTATAGTAAGTCCAGACTTCTAATCGTTTTAGCCTGAAGAATCAGTGCAATTATCAGTACCTTCTTGGATCTCATTCTAAAAAGAAATTACTTAGAAAATTTTGTGGCACAATCATTTGTGGCATTAAAAAGATTTGCAAATAGATTTGTTGTTAGCTAATTGAGAGAAAGGAAGTGGATTTTACACTGAAAAATTGTCAAAATGAATGAAATTCTTTTCATTTGAAGACAATGTTTCTTTCTAAAAATTTATTTTTTTTTTTACCAATTTTTTTTTTCATTAAAACATAAATTTCAAATATAAATCAAAAAAAAAAAGAAAAGAAAAACGAAAGAACATATGATAAAAAAATGATATAAAGAAACATCTTACTTATTTGGATCATTGAAAATTATTTCAATCCAATTCAAAGTATTATCTGTCAAGGAGAAAAAAAAATGATCTATCTACTTTGAAATATATGTTTGGACCATTATGAGGAATAATTCTAATGTCTCCTTAAATAATGAGCCAGACAGTTTTTCTAAGTTTTATTAAAGCAGTATGGTTAATAATCATATCATAAAGAAAATTTCACAAAAAAATTTTTCTGAAAACTTCTTTCCCTAAAAGTTTAAAATTTCATAAGGATTGAATATTGAATAGTTTAAATAAATAGAAAAAAAAAAAAACAAGTATTTTATTTTTAGAAATAACTAAGACCAAAGAATTCGATCAGAAAAAAAAGGTAAAGCTGATGCAAATGAAAAAAAAAAAGAACACACTTTATATAATTAATTTTAAGATTAATTATTTATTAAAATTGCTCCACAAAGATCACTGCAAATAAGTTTCTATGGTTATACTTTTGTGGAAAATAAATTTTGATGGAATATGAGAAGAATGACATTCTTCAACAACCTTAAAATTCACTGTCTTCTTTTCTTTTGTAATTTGAAAAATGCAAATGTCGAGAGATGATGATGACGATGATGATGATGATGATGATAATGATAGTGATATGTGGCAAAGAAAAATGATTGGGAATGAGAACCAAAACAAATACATCAGAAAGTGATAGCACAAAATGCGCAAATCAATAAAAGGGACATGGTATAATGAAAAATATTTTGGATTTCAACAAATTCTAAACAATCACGAAATTGATGTAATTTGTAATATACATTGTATTTACCTATTTTAAATTTAATCGGAATCATCAATTTTCATTAAATCTTCAATTTAATTTAATTAATTTCAAACTTAAATTAACACACATTAATTCTATCCTATCTGACCAATCATTGTCACTTTTTTTTTAAACTGAAGTTAAAAAATTCTACCGCATTGTATGTTAACTGCGCTGTTAAAATAAGAACCCTTTGGAATCTGAACGAGTTGTGTTCCTACAAAATATTATAACAAGTGACAAATCATTTTCTGTGTCCTTCGTTGATAACCTTTTAGACAGAGAGAGAGGGAGAGAGAAGGAGGGAGACAGATAGACAAACTTATGGTGCATTGTCAGTGAGCTATCATTTGTAGAAAACCTTCTTCTACAGCTCAAATTACGGTTACACCGAATGATTCATTTCACTCTATCAATGATACTGCCATCCTTCAATTGTTGTGAAAATTAGACTTGCGAATACACTTGCGATAGTGCGAGAAAATTTTTTAGATTCATTTATTTAACTGTATCATTGATATATGCCTACCTGAATGTATCAGTGCAATTTGCTCACTAAATTGTATTTTAATAAAAGTTAGTGATGACAAATCATTTGATAACAATAATTAGCATATCAGATGATATACACTATGTTGGAAGCCCAAATGAAAATAAACAGCACATATTTTAAATTCAAATGCTTTCCTTGTTAATGAAAAAAATAGATAAATAAATAATTGGGTGTTTCAGCAAAATGGCTTTCCATTTAATAAAGTTTAGCCAATCATGCAAAATGTTTGACATTAAAAAAATATTCAACATCTAAATGCAGGTCATATACTATTACTGTGAAATTTAAAAGGGTAAAAATTTCAATATCATGTGATGTTTTAATGTTATTTGATTTCAAGGATTGTCTAAGGTTTTTTTTTTTTTTTGTATAATCCAAAATTTGTCTGTTAAATGGAAATCACAGGTCTGATCAGAATTAGAATGATTGATCATTTCATCTATCTCATTCCCTTTCTCTTTTTTTTTTGAAAATATTTTTTATCAAAAAAAAAAAAAAAGTTAACTAGCCAGTGACGATAATCAAACTTAATAATCGATCAACAGATCTAAATTTGGCAATATTTCTCTGCTATTCTTGAAATCTCGCAATATTTGCACACCTGGACCTTATAGTACTAATCATTCAACCAAGTTTGCAATTACCTAAGTTGGTCTTGGAAAGACGTGGAAAAGAAAACTGAACAAAAACTGCTTAAAACAATTAGCGGCTTTAGATGACATACAAATTTCCACTTTTGTCATTCTTGAAATTAACTTACAATTCATCAAAGACACTTGAATACATCATAAACCCTTCTTCACGCTTATATCAATTTTAAAATCATATCATGTCATCTTAATTCTATCTTATCCTCTCTAATCTATCCTATTCCATTTTATCTACTCTCCCACTACTCTATTCTATTCCATTTCGTCGTACTCTCTTCCATTCTGTCCCGTCTCATACTATTTTATTCCATTTCATCCACCCTATTTCGTTCTATCTTATCATCACCACTCTTTATTTCATACTGTCCTATTCTATTCATTCATCGGTGGGTGGTGCCTAATTTCTCATTGTGGTCATAAATAAGAAATGGCGCTATGTCAGTTATTTAAATTTTGTTGAATGCTTGTTGAGTATATGGCGGGGTTAGGGGTTGTATTTCAGGTTGATAGCTTCATGAGGGAAGATTAACTTTGGGAGGTGTCGGGAGTAATGGTAAGTAAGATTTAGATGAGTATTTGTCTCGACTTTATTCCTTTTCAGATAGAGAGAAAGCTTGGAGAATTCCGATGACAAAATCAAACAAGCAAAAGTAAAATTTTCTCTATTTGTCTGTCTGTTATTTGTTCCTTGAGTATTCTAACTAGTAATTGGAACATGTCTCTTTCAAGTGACCATTTAAAGTCAGAAATCGCGAAGGTCACTCTTTGACCGTTTTCTAGAAGGATGGTATTCTTAAGTGGATAGTACGTATGGTGAACAAAATATATTTAACAAATATAAAAAATATATTGCAGTAATTTAAGATTGAAAAGCTTAAATAATGGAGATTTATTTAAATTTCTCGTTCATGACTTACTTATTATCGGTTTATCACGGTTCATCGATCAACTTGATTAAGTCTTTTTCTCATTTTCAATCGGTTTAGGTCACGGAATAAGGGTAATAGATTTAATAAGGACGACAAAGTTGACTTATTCAATGATATATCCATTAATACGATCGAAAATCTCGAGACATGGGAAGAAGCAACTACTTCTTGGATGAAAACTGCGCATAATTTTTGTCAGTTGAAGGTGATTTTTCTCCTCGTGCATTTTTTGTCATTTTCATAAACAAATCATGAACTTCACATTTAAGTTAATTTTTCAAGTCTTTTTGGAATTGTGCGCATTGAAACATTTTGTAATTAACCTTCTGGCAAGTCCTTGCTTTGCGCATGGTTATGAGTGATAATATATAGCTTTTTCATCAATTCTGCTTAAAATTAACATCGAACTAAACACGATTATTCAGGATGACGAAATGCGTTCCGAAGTGCGCCTTCAGTTAGCTGAAACCATTTTACTGGCTCCCATGAAAATCAAGATAAATAATGAGTTCTCTGTGAGACCGGTAATTTTTCTATCTTTCAAACTATAGAAATTCAGTAGTTCCATTTATGAAGTGATATCGTCTAAAATGATTCCAAAAGTTTAATTTCTCTCGCTTGCTTGATTATGTATTCATCTTCGCTTTATTTCAGCGAAATATGATACACATATTCGAAGCTTGGGAGAATATTTATGATGCTGTCATTGATGCGTGTTCTCAAGATTCTATTCGGTGTTGTACATTTGCTATTAAACTAGCACACCAAATAAGGCAATTAATTACATACGAGGTTCTTCAAACATTTCAAATTTATTTATTCATTTTTATCCACTCAGAAAGGGGGATTGTATTTATATTAGTTATTCCAAAATATACTTGAGTATTTTATGCAGATTTATTTTTGCTTTTTGAGTAAATGAATTTAAAATTAAACTATAAATTGGTGGTTAAGATAGTAGTAGCTTGGCTTATTTGAGTACATAATCTTGTAGAGAATTTGGAAGTTCATCCGTCATTTTATACATTACAAATCTTTGGCTTATTTCAGATGGATTGTCGGCTACTTTTCGTTTGCTCGCAAATAATTCGTGCTCAGATTGAGTACTTTAATTATGATAGCCTTAGTGACGTTTTTGTTGGAGGTCTGGTTTTTCCTTTCATTTCACATTTTTATTTTCTTTGCAGGGAAGTCTGTTTCAATTTTGTTTCATGAAAACTCGATTAGGACATTTTTTAACAGAAAAACTAACATTACGTTATCCTTACAATGAACACTTAGACAATGAAAAAAAAAAAAAAAAAAAAGCTTACAACGAAATTTAGACGAACTTCATAGCATTTCTAAGAATATGCATAACAGTTATGGATTGAGGATGCGAATTCTATTTTCAGACTTCGATTTGTCCGGAAAAGGGAACATCCTTGATTGTTTCTGCAAGCTGCTAATTGAAATTCGAAAGCGTTCAGTTGAAGCGCTTCTCAAGTATGCTGATAGACAAGCTGTAAGTCCAGTATGAAGCGTTTCTAATAGACATTTTGTCTTCATTCCAAAAAAGAATGAAAATTGCAATTGTTTAAGTACTTTTGCTACTCAAGTCTCCATATTAATTCTCGGGAAAATTCGGATTTTGTAAAAACTTTGACTGTTCTCATAATTGATTTTTTAGGGCATTATTCTTGAATTAATGTCGAAATCCATATTAAACATTTTGGAAGCAGCGACAAGTCTAGTATCCCTGATGGCTAAACCAGCACACATTTTGTTCGTCATTGGTGCTCTGTCTGAATTCATAAGCGGCTCCCTTACTTTGATGACGGAAAAAAGTTGTCGGATATTTTGCAAATGCCAAACAAATGTTAGTGTAATTAATGACTTGATATGAAGTTACAACTAGTGAAAATTTCATATCGATGAAATAACTTAGCGAAAAATTTCTTAAAATTGCAAATCTCAGGTTAGGATCGCGCTGGTATTTTATGATACTAGCCAGTCACTGACTTTGACTTTAATTATATTCAAAGATTTTCATTTTCAAGGTTATTGTGTTGGTCAAAACAGCTCTAACTACTCTGAAAAAACATTACTCGGGACCATACGACTCTTCATTGCTTGGCCAGTTGGAGCCAATCTTCATTAAGGGACTGCGCATATCACGTTTACGTCAATATCTTGTCAATTTCTGGCAGCAAACATTCGGTCATGCAAGTCATCTTGATATTGTAGATGAGCTAAAGTTGGTTTTCATTTGGGATTTTCTTGAATCGTTTTACACTTCTTGGTTCTTGGTTGCATTTTTCCAGTCATTGTTTCCAAGAAAATTCAGCCTCCCGTTAATTTTTCTATTCCCATTCTTCCATTCCTTCTTTTCACGGACGTGTTGTTTTCTCATCTTAGAGATGTTTGTAATGGAAGATAATCTTGTTGTTATTTGGTAACTCCTTCTACTCTTGTTTAACATATATGAATTCTTTTCATATTTTTTTAAAACTAAAATATAAAAAAGGCACTTCAGATATCTTGAACCTATTCATTCTAAGAGATGACTGGTTGAAGTATATTTATTGCTGAGCAAACTGAATTAAGATTATATGAGATGCAAAAAAACTATTCGGTATTTAATTATTTTTCTTGTAATTTATTCTTCAGTACTGCTCTGGAGCAGGCCAAATATACACCGATAAGTTTCGTCTCTGGACAACAAGATTTTTCGATATTGGATAATTCAAAAACGTCAATATCTTGTGATACAAATCTTGGCTCCTCCATGGATGAAAGTAACGACACTGTAAATGAAAATGTGAGTCAAATAGTCAGAGTTATGCAATTACGCATTTCTCATTTTATTTCCTTTAGCTGTGTTATGTTTGAGTTCTTGCCGTTCAGTTCAGCACCACATCCATACATGCCCTACCTATTGTTTTGTTCAAATTTTTGTTTCTAATTTTTTTTGATCCTGGGTTTATGTTATCAACAAATTATTGTATTTGCAACATCGTGATTTTAAGTTTCTGTGGCTATATTTATGACAGAAGATTTATTTTTTCTTTATAGTACTTTAAACAGTCTCCTATGGAGAAAACAAAGCCCTCAGTTTCAAAGTGCAGAACGCTGAAGCACGTGAAAGATGAAAGTATGGATGAATATATAGTTATTAACTCATCGCATTCTGCGAAGAAAATGCAGTTAACTGATCATCAGAAAGAAAAACTAATGGAAAGAAGGTTAGAAAAAATTGCATATACTAAACATAAAAAAAAGTGAGCATTTGATAACACTTGTTTCTTTCAGTGATAGTTTGTTATGTCTTACTGAAGAAAGTCAATCGGTTGATTTAGCAGCACGTATTCCACCGGGATATACTGATAACTCTTCTCAAGAAAAGTTTGTTTGTTCTTAACATATGTGGATTTCAAAGATAATTAGAATGTAAATGTGGTAACATAGCCAACTATATTTTTACGTGGCGGAAATTGAAATTAGATTTCTTGATTAAAGCAAAATAAAGATGGAGAGAAAGGTAACCTGATAATATTTCTAAGCTCAAATTGATCATCTGTATGTTAATGATGTATATTAATGTAATTCACAGATGAGAAAATATCAAATTCCAGTTCATCGACAATGGAAGCTCCAAAAACAACATCACTGGTAAAGAAATGCGATGTTGAATACAATCGTATAGGTCCCTCAAATACTTGTGTTCAATCTAAAAATCAGCTCACTGGAAATATTAACGAAAGTGATAACCATAGGAAAAATCTAGTCGGTGGTGACATCAATGATGGCAAAACCACAGTAAAAAATTTGATAATCTTAGAGGTTTGATCTATGAATCTCGTAATGATTTAATGTATTAAAAAGGTTGCGTAATCTCAATTTGGACATTCGCTTTGATCTATTAAAATTCGAGATTGAAGTTCAGTTTATTATTTTCTCAGATTTCCTCAATTTTCTTAGTCCAAAAATTTGTTTAGGACAGGCAGAATAATGAAACTGTGTGCGAAAACATATCTTCTGGTTAGTGTTTTACAAAATTCATCTTTTTCTTATCGCTTTTTTTTCGTCGCTTCAAATAACAGGGATATAAAGAAATTTGGTATCGAAAAATTTATACCCTTAGTGATGTGTAAGCTACTACTTGGTGAGAAATAATTTAAATTAAAATGTTATGTAATTTTTTCAATCTATATACTTTATCTAAAGTAAGAACAAAGTAGAACAGAGAAATCATGACTTAAGAGAAAAAATCACCACTTATAAGCTACTACTCTGAAACTTTTCAAATCTTAAAAACATGCTCGCGCATTTTAGATCTTCAGAATCAAACCTGTGCCGAAAACAAAGACAGTAAATTAGCGTCCGTCTTATTAGATGAACGTGTCAAAGACACGGGGCGAAATATTTTGGAAGAGCCGAGACTTTCGATAAGATGTAGAACTCCTGTAATTTTTTGTGGTATTTTTTTTCGTAAAAGTTAGAAACTTGCTTATGTTTATGGGAAATTGAAACCATTTTATTTTTTTAAGATTCAAAGGCTTGACCATGTTTAGCTTCATTATAAGCATTGATCTGGTTTTGATGACGAAAGAACTGTTTCTCGCATCAATATTTAAGGCGTTAAAAATTTGAATCTATTTTCAAAATGTAAGTTTGTGACAAAAGAAAGAATTCCTTAAGCTTCAGGAAAACGCAGAATCAAATTTGGAAAATGCGAGCCGAAAGGAGAGTGGAGATGAATTATTAAAAACACCAAACAGTATCTTGAAAAAGTGTGAAGGAAGTTCAACTTATCCGACGATCAAGTTTTTTTCAGCCAGTGCAAAAAAGGTAATACTGTATTTGAAAGAAAAAATTTTTAAGACATGTAAAACTAGGATGATCTAACAATAAGGAAAGAATTTCTCAGCAAATTTCCGTTTTCTGAATTATTTTATCTATAAGTGATAAAATATTGCTAAAAGTGAACAGAGTTGTGAACAGTGTAGTGATGGTGGTGGCATGATTCCATTTCGACAAGAATATAGTCTCACAATAGGGCCGAATTACTATTATAAGCTATGCTGCATTATTAATGATCAGTTTTATTGATAAATAATGAGATATTAAGTGCAAACGTGTGCACTTCGATGCGTCAACTCTAGACGATGATGATATTTATGGTCTTCCACGCAGAAAAATTTTTCGACGATCCAGGAACTCATTATTTTTTGGATTAGCGGTAATTTTTCCGTTATATTCATTTCAACATCTTCTGCATACTTTTTATCTAATTTATTAATTTAGAAATGTAGATCAAGGAAAAAGGTGTATTACGAAAATTTTTAAGATTTGCTGAGTTTCTGACTCAAAGTTTTTGATCTAATGTTTCGATTCTTAAACTTTTTAAATTTGGCTAAGTAGAAGTGGAAGGCCAGCATTTGTAATCAAATGAAAGATAAAGGTTTGCGTTTGCTTTAATTACAGGAAGATTTAATTTGTACAAACTATACAAAAACTGTACAAAGTTAAGCTGAGTTTGCAGGAATTGTCTTTTTAATGAACATTTTCCAGCCCGTTAAGCGTTCTGAACCAACTTCGCCTTCAAAACGATCATCTATACTACCTACCAACAAAAATCCTGTTGATGCAGTTTTTCCGCCACTAGTCGGGTCAGAGGAATTGATTCCACCACAAATATATCTCAAATTGGCTCCAACAATGAGGTATGTTTCCCAATGCTTGTAATAATTTCTTTTAATAATGATTAGAGGATATTTCATTATAAAAAATCTCGGCTAAAAACTGAATTTTTTTCAGGATAATGCGACTATATTTTTTGATTTTATGAAATGAATTTGAAATATTTCAGTTCTCTTGCTCTGCGATCCCTAATGAAGTCACGTGGTGTTGCAACTGTTGGTGATTTGGCCTGTATGTCAGAGGAGGATATCGAAACATTTCCATTTAGGGACCCGAAATTGAGTCGTTTTCTGCGAGCACTTGAAGATCATTTCAGAATGGTATTTTTTCTTATTAAAAAGAATTGGCGGGAGAATATTGTCCCGTATTGCCCTTATTAAAAATCTGTAATGATATATAGATGAAATAATATGTTTCTCATAGCTTTCGAGCTCTGTTACATGCATTATATGCAAAGTAATTTGTTCTGAAATAATACCAATGTGGTCATGACCTCAGATACTTTCTGTCTCCATCTCTTTTGAATAAAACGAGTTAAAAGGTATTTAATTTTTGTCAGAATTGAAATTTGCAGAATGTTTTTTAATTTATTGTGGAAATGTGAATTTTATTCTAGAAGAATATGGTAAGCAAAGAGGATGCCATTGAACTGGAGAAAATCATGAAACGTCCAGTGAATTCGCCGTCTGATTGCTTGAAGAAAGTTAATCTCCAACCTACTGACAAATATAAGGCACTTTCTCCTGTAACAGTGCAAGAGCCGCTGATTGCTGATGTTCCTGAAGCATTAAATAAAACAGTCTCTGGAGCTTTCGAAAATAAAGTTAGCAAAACCTCAACTGAACAAAGTTATGTGAATCCGTTCCAAAATGGTTTCAACCGATTTACACCTTGTTCAGTCAAACGTTTGGTTAACGATGAAACCGATGAAATGGTTAATTGTCCGAAAGAACCAGATTTGGAAATTAGGCAAAAGAACCAAGAACAAGGTTGCTATTTTTCTTTTGTTTATGTTACATTACTCTAACGCATCATGCTACTTAAATAGATTTGTCTTCCAAGCTATCTGTTCTTGGTACCGCTTTTGTAGGACGATATAGGCTGCTATGTCTAACTGGTGCTAGCAGCTCATCTCAACCATAATGTATGCGATCATTTCAGAAATTTAGCAAATTAATCCCTTACTTTATAATTTTAAAAACTCATTGTAGTATCAAATCAGTCAGTTCTTAAGCTCATGAAAAAAAAAAAAAAAAAGATTTCTGATATTAGATGTTCTCATGTGCGTCTAAATATAATGATCTATAATTCATTTTTTTAAATGGTTTGTTCTAGGTAACAATCGGTCTCGATTTGGTTTTCTTAATCCCTTCGTAAGGAGTCATGAACCAGTAAATAATAATGACTCAGTATCGATGATTGCATTGGAGAAAAGCGATGCACACAATTGTGTAGGCTCTTCATCCTTATCAGAACATGACAATGGAGAAGAAAAGCTAGCTACGATGTTATCGGAAAAGTTGTCGGATAAAAGTATTGAAAGCAGTGAATCAAGGGAAAATAATATGAATAACATGAAGCTAGGAGGAGATGCGGATAAACTTTATGATGTGAATGATTTTCTCAGAAACGCATATCGTATATTTCTTGAGGATTCAGTTGTTGCAGCAGTAGCAGGTATCTTTGTCAACAGCGTTTTAATATTTTACTGATTTTTGATGAGTTCGTTATAAGACCACTAACACTTAATAATTATTAAATTAAAAAGGCGAAATTCAGTCTGAAACATTCGTATTCAAACTACGCTCTATGTTATCCATAAAATTGGTTCACAACCTAGATCATAACTCACTATTTGTTTAACGTCACTTGTGAATGGCCAGTTTGCCTAAGGGACTCTTTTCATTAAAATTAAGTTAGTGGGAATAGTTTGAGTTTTTCAAGAATCCAAAAGAATTTTCATATCATATTATTTCAGGTAAATGCCCAATAAAGAAATTTAGCAATGAACAATTACTCTCTTTTTCTCAAGCATGTGCTTCTTTCCAAATGGCAGTTCTGAATTCATCAAAGAAGATCAACGAAGAATAATATTAAGCTGTTACCTATTCATTTATTACTGGAGAAAAAAAGACTGTCATAATGAAAAAGAAAAAAAAAGCACATAGTACAGACTTGTTTGAGTCACTTCTAATTAACTTGTTTAATATTATACGCACATTTCATACCTAACAATTTATTACTTATATCTTTCCGTGATTTTCGATAAGATTTTATACTCTTCCGTTTTTTTTTTATACTGTTTAATTCTTTCCGACATTTATGCTATGTTTGTGTTTTTAGTTCGTATGAGACTTAGTAAAATTAAGCTTTTGTGAAGAATGATTATTTTTACCAGTCAGTTCAGTTAAATTGTTATCTAATCAATGATGGATTGCTTGTTATCTTTTTGTTTCGTTGGTACTGTACGAAATGCTTGTACTTTGTACTTTATTGTGAGATTTATACTGGTAGTTTTTGCTTATTTCGTGCTTGACAACCATGAAATAAAGGTTGTTTGAAAAATGGAAAGAGAAGTAGGTCACTATTACCCTAATAACTTGCATGGTTCATCTTAGAAAGGAAGCCAAGTTTGAGTACTTTTGAGTCCAAGTTTGATTTCCAGTACTTCTCCTAGTTAGGCAGCCTAGAGAAGTTTCTGTTGTTGCATACGAATATACATGGAGAAATTCGTGACCAACCTCAATACTTTCATCAAGAAGGTGTGGTCCAGTTCTCAGGTCCGGTCCAATATGCGATACATTGATGCTGTATTCCAGGATGTGTTCGTTCGGTCGCTGGTTATGTCGTGAGAAGGTATTTGCTTCGCTTCCCACCTGCTTTCGACAATCGATAGCCTGGGTTGCTTACCGTTCTAATTTTTCTTTTTCGTAATGCAAGAGAAAAGTAGCTAGCACAACTATCAATGCATGTAATATGGTGTTTGTTGAGAATTAAAGAGACAGTCTGTTAAAAATTACTGATCTACTCAATTCTGATTTATTCAATTAGAGATTTGCATGATTGTAGAAGTCTTTAAGAACAATCTTCATAATCATAGTCTTTGTACCGTTGTCTAGTCTTAACTTTATGCATGTACCAGTAGTTCAATGTACATAGAGAATGAGCAAATAAAGGGAGAGTGAATGCAAATATAGCAGAAATTTACTTTTATTTTGTACTTTTGATAAAAAATATCAAGTTATCTAATTTATTATTTATATTAGATAAGCGAGTTTAACTATAATTTTTTAGGCAAACTAAATACATTATAAAATTAGCTCACTTTTATTCCTTATCATTTCAGATAAAGTTGCAAGTATTGATTTGACTTTATTCATATATTATATTGAATGACTTTATTCATATTCTTTCAGGCTTCGCATAAGTCATCAAAACAAGGAAAACCATTGGATGGACAGGTTGCTTTGGTAACCGGTGGTGCGCGAGGTGTTGGTAGAGGTATAGCATTGCAGCTAGCTGAAGCTGGTGCAACGGTATATATTTCGGGACGGAAACCGGGTTCTCCTGCCACTATACCTACTTTGCATGATACCATTAATGGTTAGGTTTTGTCTCATTTTCCTCTTGTTGAAATTGCAACCTTTTTCAATACATGCAAAGAAGCATGAGAGAGTTTTTGATTTTCTATCATTATTTATTCTTCAACTGATAATATTTATCAGTAGTTATAGTGATATTGCAATAAATAAGTTGTAAGCTCTCGTGTTGCAGATAGGAACATATAGGAGAAGAATTATGACTTGGAAAATAAGTGATAATTTTCTTCTCATGTAACTTAAATAAAAAAAAGTTATAATATTTTCAGAAATTTCAAGCAGAGGTGGTAAAGCCATTGCAGTTTACTGCGATCATAGTAAAGATGGTGAAGTTAAAGAACTTTTTGAACGAATTGCGAAAGATGAGAAGAATCGATTGGATGTGTTGGTCAATAATGCTTTTTCAGGAGCCGCTGTATGTTTTTGTTGGGAACGTTAAATAAAGTATAGAAATAATTGTATTTTGGAGATTAGTATGTTGTTAATAAATATCGGGTATTTTTCACTGTTAAATTACTTGGCCATTAGTTTTGCATATGAATTCAGTTGCTTTTTTTGTTCTGCTTAGGAACATATTTGAGATTGATCATCTGTCATTTACTTTTCTTTTACTAATTTTTTATTCTCTAAGTTAGCAATGATTGCTTGATGACCGAAGTCATATGTTTATTTTGATATCTATGATTTAGATTGATCAGCGCAATGAAAAGATCAGTGCTAATTAAAGGAGAACTGATATAAAATTACTGAACACTTAATTTTGCAGGCAATGGAAAAAAATGTCGGCAAAAAATTCTTCGAATGTCATCCATCATTTTGGGATGAAATAAATAATGTTGGTTTGCGAAACGTTTATATTTGCTCAGTATTAGCTTCACGCATTATGGTTCCACGCCAAAAAGGATTAATTGTGAATATCAGTTCAGCGGCTGGCGTGCGATACTTTTTTAATGTACCCTATGGAGTGGGTAAAGCCGCTGTAAGTTTTTTTTTTTTTTTTGCTTCCATTGATCATTGACAGCTTTATACATTCAAGACTTTATATATTCAAGCTGATTATCAGTTGATGTGTTAACTGTTATGATATATGATTATTGCAGCTTTTTTTTTACTAATAATTTCAGTAATTCCATGTAAAATTTAATGAGAATTCTTTATTTTGTGTCTTATCGTTTTATATGTCTTATATACCATTTTGAAGACATTTAACTTGTAAAATTTTCTCAAAACTTAGATCGATAAAATGTCTGCGGATATGGCCGAAGAATTGAAACATTATAAAGTGGCGGTGGTATCATTATGGCCTGGAACAGTAAAGACTGAAAAATCATACGATTGGTTGCGGTCTGGAATGTTGAGTAAACTTACAAAAATACCTCAGGTGTTTAATTTTATTTTACAGTATAAATCTTACTTCTTTGTATTTTTAATAATTCATATGTACTTGATAAAAAATCTCTTTTACTTCTTCAGTGTTTTGTCCTTGGCACTTGCTTATGTTAACTTCTTTCTAGTCACATTTCACTTGAATGTCATATCATCTTGTTTTGAAAAGCAATGTCTAAAATCTTTCACTATTAAACGAACTCTGCATGCATATTAAAAATTAGTGACTATGACAAACACTGTTACTTAATAACTGCAGGCTCAAATAGAGCGTATGATAGAAAGAGGAGAAACTCCTGAATTTGTTGGACGAAGCGTGGTATGCTTAGCTTGCGATTATCAAATATTAAAAAAAACTGGATGTGTACTTTTAACGGGTGATTTATGCAATGAATATATGTTTCTTGATAATGATGGTTAGTTGTTTACTATCATTGTTAGGTTTGATTATTTGAAATTATTTGGTTGTAGATATAGCAATTTTTGAAGTCTTTTGATTCTTGTTTTTAGTTTTCAACTATGATTTTCAGTGGATTGAAGTGTATTATGTTATATTGAATAATGTGTGCAAATATTTTCACATTATCATTATATTTTCATTATTTCCTTTTCTTTTCAGGAAAAATCCCTTCAAATATGAGGAGTGTAAGCGTTGCATTGGATTTCTTCGGATTCACATCAGCAGCGAAATTAATACCAAGCTTCTTGAAAATTCCAGCCACATTTCTTCATTTGTCATCCAATAAATTTTATAAGCTATAAATTGCATTTGTTTAAATTAAACTTGTCTCTTTTGAAATCATATCCAAATAAGCTGCAGATTGTGGTACTATTAAATTTTACAAAATATTAAAATGAGCAGGGATATGTCTTTTCCAAAACAATGACAAGAAGAAAATTGGAGCTAGCGTAGAGTTTAAAGGTTATCAATTCTGTACATTCTGTAAAATTAATTTATTTGCATTGTTTGCAGTGTTCAAATATAATTCTTAGTCATTGCTTTTTATTAGAAATAAAAACGGATACGAGTAGTGTAGTTGTAAAGTATTTTGGAAATAAAAAAAAAAAAAAAGAAATGTGTTGAATTTGAAGGAAGCTATCGGTCTAACCTTTGTTAAAATGCATTATTCTTTTGATAGGATCATATTCTTTCGAAATGTAATACATTTTTGCATTCTCTTGTTTGTCTATTTGATCTATTTGTATTGAACAAATAAAATAAACTTAATTAAGCAGTTATATTTTTAGAACACATTATACTTGTAAATTTTTTAATCATAATCATTAACTCCTTATTTGTTGCAATTAATCATTACTTGTTGTATTAGTGATTATTATATCAATTTAGACATTTTTACTGTCTAAATTTCATCATTTATTTGTTACAATTAAGATAATTATGGTTTAAAACTTCTGAAGGTATGATAGACTGTTTATCATTTTATTAAAAATAACTAGTAGCAAAAAAAGAATTCGAAAATACGGGAAAAACAGTGTGACAATTTTTTTTTTTTTTTTTATGTAGAATATTTTTTATCCATCAAATTTGTTCATATGTCTTTCTATCTTTCCCTTGTTAAACTCGACTCAAATTCAGCATGAACCTAGTAAGTGAGCAGAGCGGTCATGTCAATACTGTACGTATTGCGCTCTTCAAAAAAGAATAACATTGGATGTTTATTATGCTAAAAAAAATGAAATTTTTTCTATCGGTGGCATTATTAACATTTGATCACATGAAACATTTTTATTTATAGCAAAATTGATTCATTCCAAATTTACAGCATTTCATTTTCATCAAAGTTAAAAAGAAACTAAAAGTGTTAGAAATATTTCACATTTTTTAGTAGCATTGTAAATAACAGATGGATTTATTTTATCTGATAATAATATCTGAAACATGCTTTATAATTTATAGCTTATTTTATGCTTAATAAAATGTATGAAAATAATTGTGCCTCTGCAAATTCATTTTTTACGCCATTTTTTCTTCTTTTTTTTTGTGACAATTCATGTGAGTACAGCATGAAAACTTCAGTGATGCAAATCAGCGCTAACCATTTGGAGCTTTTAATTAATTAAGCTGTAAGAATATAATATAATGTTGATTTAAATTTAAATTTTCTTTTTCTGTTAACAGTTTTTTGATTTTTTGCTACCATAATTAATATAATTGGTATGAAAATAATTGTTTCAGTAAATTTTTACATAAAATTAATAATTTAAAAAAATATTTCTCAATAGAGTAAGTTTTAATCTTGATATGGCATCAAATAAGACTAAATAATTCGTTAAAATTCATCACATCAAATTTCATTTTTCTCTTAGTGCAAGTTAAAAACTTTTATGCATCTTATAAGCAAGCATAAATGCAAATAAAAGATGATAAAAACGCGCAACATTGCAATTCAATAACTAAACTTTTAGATGAAAGAAAAAAAAAAGAAAAAGAAACTAAAACGGAAGATAAAAAAGAAAAAATGAGATTCATATTGCTGTGTGAAAAAAAAAAAAAACTTTAAATGCAAGTAAAAGTTAAAATTAAATGCTCTATACGCCCGTGAATAAACTTTTTTTTTGCTTTTCTAGCATACTAACAACGTAAAATTATTTTCTGACAATTAATCTTTTTTTTTTTAACTTTTCGTTTTTTGATGTTTTTAATTTAATTTTAATAAATCTGTTAGAGAAACAAAGGCAAAACAAAAAAAAAAAAAAACAAAAAAGAATCAGAGGATAAAGCTAATTTTTCATTCTTTAACTAATACATAAAATAAATTAATAATAAAATTAATTATTAATATTATTATTATTATTATTATCATAAATACTATTATTACTTTACTTTACTTTGTTTTACTTTATTTTCATTTATTCATTCTTCCATTTCTCAATTTTATATGACACGAAAGCATATATGCTAATGTTTGATTGAGTGTACTCAAATCTTTCCTGAAAACCTATTTGCTATGCTCGGCGCTTTTTCCTCTCATTTACTTTTATTTATGTGACATTTTTTAAATGCTATCAAAATATTTATTTCATAACAGATGAAAAATGATTCATTTTTGTGAAAAAAAAAAAAAAAAAAGCAGTTTACATGATGCTTTTTGATTTTGAAGGCATTTGCCATAAATAATTTAAAATAACCTCAACAGATATTTATATAAGTTTTCTTTTTTAACTTGTTACTCTTAAAGTATTTGCGTGCAAGTAATTTAGTGTATGTAATTTAAAATAGCTTGAATATATTTATAAGTGCTTTTTTTTTCTCTTTGTTTGAACAACTATAAATTTATAACGAAACTTCCAGTAACTTTCATAGATCATACAATTTCAACAATGTATTGTCTGCTACAACTATTCAAATTGTTTAATAAACCTTTTCTTTCCTATTTCTAAGATAAACTAAATTATTTTTGTATTTTTATTTTTTTTAAATTAATATTTCTCCTACAATAAACTTACATAGACAGTATACAGCATGAAAATTTTTGAAAAAAGAAAAAAAGAATGGAACAAAAGTAATTTTACTTCACATAAGGTCAATTCAGGTTGCTTATCAATGTGCGATTACTTTGGTTGCAATTGAATTCATCCAATAATCTTCAATGTATTATTATTATCTCTGCTTGCTTTTCAATTTCGCATCCGTTTTTTTTTCTTTCCTTTTCAACTTTAAGTGCTGATTGGATGTTTTAAACCAAAATGAAATGAAAAAAAAAACGAAGTGTTCATAAAATTACGGAAGCATAAAATAAGCCAGTAGGATACAAAATTCTTTTACATTTTTTCTTTGCAATTTGAACTATTTTGTTGAAATTATTTTGTATTTTTCTATTTTCCAACAAATAAATCATTTTTGAAAATAATGTCATTCCTTTTTTTTTTCAATAACAAAAAATTTTTTAAATTTCCTAATTTTAAATTTTAAACAATTGATAATTCTATGACTATTTTTACATGAATTATAATTGAACATTTTGAAACAAGTCAAGATGGCGAGAGAAAGAGCGCTCAATATGAGATGTTTTGCATTCTTAAATTTAATTTTGGAATTCATTCAAACTTAATTTTGTTTAGTACAATGTAATAATTAAAACAAGAGGATGGGAAAGGAGAAATAGAGAAAAATAAAATTTGTTATTTTCTAAAATGAAATTGAAATTCAATAAGAAAAATTAAGTTTATTTATACATTTGAACATTCCAGATTGTAAACAATGGTATAATTTTTCAGCTTTTATTATTTCAGGCCATAATGATATGCTTCACTTTATAATGCTTCAATTCTTCGGCCCTATTCGTAAACATTTGATCGATCTATGTTAAATATCTTCAAAATGATGATACTGATAAAATGATAAGACACAAAATAAAGAATTCTCATCAAAATTTGCACGGAATGACTGAAATTTTTAGCAAAAAGACTAATAATACACGTATCTCTCAACAGTTAAGATGTTAAGATACCAACTGATAATCAGTAGCTTAATCAGTTCAATTTAACTCTGATTGATTAATCTTGAAGTTGCAGCCATATACGGAAAATATCTCAGATTAGTATTTTCAAATTGAAATGTAAATCTTTCAGCAATGTTAAATTAACAACGATTAGTAAACATTTTTAGTACTTTACTGAAATTCATACGCATAAAGCTATCAATTATTACTGTAAGCAAAAAAGCTTATAGCGGTTTTACTCATTCCGTAAGGTACGTCAAAAAAGTATCTCACGCCAGCCGTGAAATTAAACCTTTTTGGCGTGGAACCATCATGCGTGAAGCTAATACTGAGCAAATAACGTTGTTTATTGTGATATTACATCATTTGAATGGATGATAAAACCAATGGAATTTCTTGCCAAATTAATTCTTCCTCTCTTCCTCTTCTTTTTCCCCCTCCTCTCTTTCTCCTTTTCCCTGTCTTTTTTTTCTTTTATTTCTTTCTACAATATAGCTCAATAAAATTCATCAAATAAAAATTACTTGAAAAAAAAAACAAAGTATAGTAATGCTATTTTACTGTTATCTACAAAAATTTACATATCACATAAGAGTTCAAAAGTTAGCTTTTCTCTTATCTTTTTCTTCTTTTCACTCCTTCATTCTTTGCAGAGAATTGAATCGAACAAATTAGAAATTCAAATTTATCATTTGCATACTCATCCATTTCTTTTGCCATTAATCTTTATTTACTACTACTACTACTACTATTGCTGATAGTAGGTTCTTACTTAGTGATAAAAACTTTAATCGTAATCACTCAATTCAGTTCACTGTCATCATGAAATAGCTTCCACATTGATAATTTATTTTCTTCTTTTTGCTTTTTTTTTCGAGAGAGAATACCACGGCTATTGTCTTTCATGTGAAAAGTCCAAAATGCCTGAATAATTTGAGAGAGCATTTCACACGAAAATTAATCTTCACTTCAATGATAGGTACTGACACTTCCTTTGAAATCATTATATGTAAATAAATAAAATATCATTTTATTGAAATATTGATATTTGCCCAATCTTTCATGGGTATCTATCAATCTATCTATTCAACTATCCATTCATTTTCTTCCCAATAACACTTTCTCACATGACAAATGTGCCAAGCAAAGAAAAAAGAGAAAAAAATGTTAATGCGATCATATTTGACAAGTGAGAATCGTAAATCTTTAAATTTAAACTACTTTCAATTTTTTTTTTCTTTTCATTCATTTGTCATATTTTGTTAAAATTTTGTCCAAATATTTTCTTTTTTTTTTATCTTTCATAAATGAATTTTACTTTTTTTAATCTTTCATAACTTTATTCTTATTACTTACAACTTTTTAAACTATTTAGAATAACAACTCATTCAATGTGCTAAACGATGAATCTCTTTGTTAAATTATTAGCAAACCAAAAAATTTAAGTTAGATTTTGAATGAATCACAAAATTTTCTCCATTAGATCAATTTTATGGCTGTATTTCAAATCAGTGATGCATTTTAATTTGCAAATTTTATTAAGCTTTTAATTTATTATAGGTTCTAAATTTTTATTTTTTTATCATCTTTTAGAGGATAATTAACTTTCTTGATGATTGCATATTTTCAAACTTTTCAACTTTTATATTTCTTCATTTCCACCATTTTATAGCCCTTTTTTAAAATGATATCAAATATGATAAGAGTACAATCTAGTATTTTCTTCTAGTGTACTTATGATCATTATGAATTCTTGAATGGATTAGCAGTACATTAAATCTGATAAGGAACCAAAATCATTCATTTTGGCTCTATTCTATAAATCAATTGATCAGCATTGATTTCAAATAAACCCATCCCTATTTAATTATTTCTCAAAAATTTTTTCGCTTTCATTGATATTTTGCAGCAACTGTATTCCATCATATTAGAGAATGATGAGAATTCTTATCACTTTAAGTGATATAATTTCGCGTTATTTCTTAATCTGATAACTTAGCAGTTACTATTGTTGTTCTTCATTGAAAATGAAAATTCAACTGAGTGAAATGTATGCATTAATTATTGTAACTACTAATTGTATTATAACTCCAGAAAATTGAGAAAATCAAAGGAAGAATTTTCTCATTGATGATGGGTTAGTGAATAATAACATCCTGCATCATATTCTAGCTGATAATTGAAATTTATTGATCAAATTTTACAAAATGGGTAATCATATTTCATGGAATAAAAGGAAGAAAGCAATTATTGATACACTGAATAATCGTACTGGTGGTGCTTCTCGAAAAATGCCTGATTCTTCTCGGAAAATGGCGAAATGTCAGATTAGTGTGAAATGTGGCAAATATATTCCAGATGAACAGCAAATGTCAACCACTCAGAAATTATTTCCGGAAAGGCTAAAATCAAATGTATCTTATGATAAAAATGATAAAGTGATCAAAAATGATAAAATGAGCACACAAAGTGTAAATGATAAGAAATGGAAATCAAATTCAGAAAGTGATACGCAACTTTTTATACGACCAAAATTAGTTGATGAAATGAAATGTGATAATTCGAATGGTCAACGAAAAAGTACTGGAAGTGGCACAAAGCGTAATCAATCGTTAACTCGAATGAGGTTCATAAGTAAACATTTTTATAACTCCAGAATATCTCAATGATTTTCTTTTTTAAATCAGATAATAAAGTCAGATTGAGATTGAGATTACTGGCAGATTTATTGTGATTAGAAAGAAATAACCTTATTAGCATGCAACAAGCTTTAGGCTAACAAGTAATGTCTCAAATAGCGTGCAGGAACATCGAGATAGCCCGGAGGAAAATAACGCGACCCGGTCTTATCAAGCTTTAAAAAATTGCCCATCGAAATATTCTGGAGAAAGATAACGTGGCTCAGTCTTATCAAGCTTTAAGAGATGGCCCATCAGGATATCTCGGGGAAAAATAACGTGCCCAGTCTTATCAAGCCTTTAAGAAATGACCTCACCAGATAATTTAGAATCAATTTAAAAACAAAAATAGCATTGAAAATATTTTAGTTAATTTTGTGCAATCAATAAAGTATTTGCCTGTAAATAGGAAAAAATGATAACTGGTAGGAATCATAAACTCAGTGAAATATTTTTGCCCTCACATTTCATTTTCAAAGTATAAAAGTATTTTTTAAAAAATATCAAAAATATTTTTATTGCAATAGGAAAAACAAATTAATAATAGTAATATTAATAATAATAATAATAAGAAGAAGAAGAATAAATAATAATAATAAAATATATACATACATTTATTTATTCATATTTATTTATGATAAGGATTCTCTCCTACTCCGTTCACTTTCATTTCTGATTAAATTTAATAACAATCAATGTATTCTGTATTATTTGCAATAAGGTTATTTTTTTTAGTTTCAAAATACATTTTTTAATGGAATTAGAAATTAATTTTTAATTTTATTGAGTTTTTTTCACAGGCAGTTCCAAAATAATTTATTCAGGTCATCGAATCTCAACGAATCACGTCAATACTTTCGAAATAATAATTCTGATTATCGTGGAACTCATCCAATTTCACCCCAAGGACGTGAAATTATTCAGGCTTGTTTCGGCAATCATCACAACGAAATTGGTTATCGTATTTGCATGCGAGTTTTTGAAAAGCGTACTGATTATCAAAGGTTTCATTTTAATAAATATCTAAATTAGAAAAAGAAAGTATCAATTTCGATTATCAAAGTTATTTTGTCGAAAATGTGTTGCATGAAAAATGTTAAAATCTTTATCAGAGATGCAAATAATGTAGGAAAAATTGGAAGAAATTTATTTCAATTCATTTCAACTGAAATTTATGGTAATATTGAATAGAATTAGATGAAATTAAGCTTGGAATATTATAAATTTTACTTCGTTTATTTTGCAGATTTGTTTATGCACTGGGAAGGGAAAAATGGTTAAGTGCTTCTGCTGAGCTCCGTGATTACTTGAATAATGTTGTAAGTAAGGTGAGCTATGCCAAATAGAATAATCTTAACTGAACTGATAACTCACTAAATTTCAAATAATTATTAAACTTCATGTAATAGATTCTTTGTGAACGATATACTAGATTATCAACAGTAATACTAAAATTATAAGTGATAATTATATTATCAATATTACAAATAGTAATTGAATAATATCATCATGAGTGATAGTTCAATAGCACATGCATAATTACAATAGCCATAGTTGAATAGTATTATCTGGGCTACGAGTAATAGTTAAGCAGTATTATCGAGATTACAAGTAATATTTACAAAAATATTCATATTAAAAGTTATTACAAGTAATAGTTATTGTGTTAACGAGACTACAGGCAATAGTTGAATATCAACGAAAAGTTGTTGAAATTTAAAGTTAAGTTTCATTTCAGGTTCACAATGTAGCAGCAGTGGAAGAAATGTCACGACACTATGGTGAAAGACATGTACCACTGAAAAAATATGGCTTTAAGCCTGATTTTTGGGTCAGCATAGCTGATGCTATGGCAGTTGAATGCGTTATATTGGATATGGCTAATCATCAAGTAATTAATAATTAGTTCCTCAATTAGCCTGTTTCTAGTCAAAGCTAATATTCTGATATCTGATTACACTATATGTTATCTAATTTACGAAAGCAATGAACTTGAAATGAATTTTAAATGGCATATTTTCAAGGTAACATTAGTCATTATTAAATTTCACATAATTTAAATGTTGAATTTGTAATTTTAGCCAACGGAAACAGTTATGGCGTGGTCACAGCTAACATCGCTAATGTTTACCTCAATCCGTGACGGTTACTATGCAGCCTTAAGATTTCAACGACAAACACTTAAAAGTTGTAAGAATTCAGAATGGCATCCACCTGTTGATTCTATTAGAAGCTCAAAGAAATATGCTACAACCATTACTGAAAAATTTGTAAATTGATGGAGCTATTTAAAATCATTGAGATATTTGAAATATCAAATTTTGTTAGCAAAAAGTTAGGTATTATTGGGTTGATTCGACAACTGTTTAAAAATACAATCAAGCAACGGAAGTATAATTAACAAATCTTGTTAATTAGAAAGCTCATTTTACTTGCTTTCGTTTTAATTTTCAGACATTTTTAAAACACCTACATTAGAAGTTTTAAATTTTGAGGGGTTTGATATCCGGTGAAGTTGCCTTGAAAACCTAGTTAAATAGTCTTAAGTAATTATTTTGCAAAATGAATGAAGAAAATTAAATCTTTTGCAGCAATGAGAGCTTCCTCCTTTTCAATTCCATATTTTCTAACATTATTAATTTTATAAGTATGACTCATCTTTCCAATCATTTCAAATTCATTTAGCATTCATAGAATTTTGCAGTTTAATAATTAAAATTAGCAGTGTATTGTGTTAAAAGGAATGCAAATTATAAGGATCGGTCAGATTAGAATCACACATTAATTTCATTAAATTTACTACACTGTAATTATTCGCAATGTCTTCAATTCCTTGAATATAGTCAATGATTCGGAAAAAGAAAAGCAAAGACATAAACTCTGCACTGACTCAAATTAATATGTAAACTGAAGAAATCAAATATAATTAAGAAATAGCACTGAAAATTCGGTTTTTGAAAAAAAAACAAAATATGAAAGTCAATGGTTTAGAAAAAGAAAGAAGACAATAAAACAAAGAGTAAAAACCTATTCAGCGCTATTCAATTATGTTTGACTTCTTTAGTTTGCAAATTAATTCGAATCAGTTTTTAAAATTGTTTTTAAAATTATAACTATCATCATTCTTCTTCAAGTTTTTCGTCTTTAGAAATTGAAATAAACAAATGTTTCTCATCAAATATATTTTCATATTATTGCATTTGTTTACATACGACAAATAACAAATTTACTTTGTTTGCAAATATTTATTTATGAATTTACTCGAATTATTTCATAATTCTTCAATAATTTGAATTTCATTAATGAAGAATACATCTCATTTAGTCTATTCGTAATGTTTACAGATTATAGCAATAAATGAATTGATATTTATTTTTTTTTCCTTGAGGATACCAAGAAATCTTGGTGATGTTTGTTGTATAGTCAGATTATTTACAGTTACTGATAGCGATAAGAGTAATTATTGTATTCGTTGAGATTGGTTGTTGTTTTCTATCATTTTCCAGTATTTGACGAATGTAGCATTTTACAAAATAGCATTGCTACTTCTCATTGGCTTAATATTGTTGTTTATTTAGGATAAGTTCATTTAACCAATAAGTATTTACATCACCTGCAACATTAATTCATTATTTTAGCGCTTTTTTATAGGATATATTCCAGTTAAAAAAAAAAAAAAAGAAAAAAATAGTGAAGTAAATAACCTTTGCCTTTTACGTGTACTACTCCACGTTTTGTAAGATTATATTTGGAATTTTCCATTAAAATTTTTGCTGTACTTTCAGCTACTTGTATTTGATTAGCTTCACAATTACTTTGCATTCGAGAGGCAAAATTTACCTGAAAAATAAAATTCCCCAAATTTTTAAGTTTAAAATTTTTATTTCTAAGATGTTAGAAATGTAGCAAATTTACATAAATGAAGTTGGTCTCTTTTTTTCGAAAAATGTACCGTATCACCAAATAAACAGTATCTTGGTGACCGTAAACCGATAACACCAGCAGCGATTGGACCACAATGAAAACCGATACGAACACGAAGATGCCAGTTTGGGGCAGCAGTGACCTTATAAGCGAAAGTTTTCTGCAGTAGATAGAATTATTGAAATTATCAACTTTACAATAATATTAGCATAAGTCATTTAAGATATGTAGCGGAAATGTTTATTTATTTATTTATTTTTTTTTTTTTTTATTGCAAAAAGTGCTTATTTTTTTGAATAAACAAATGATTACCTCCCGTATTTTAAGTGCAATTTCAGCAATTTCAAAAATATGCCGACCACCATTTTCCCTTGGTACTCCTGATGCCATCATGTATGTTTCACCTGTCGTCTCAACTTTATAAGCATCGTGACATTTGATTACTTCATCGAAAGTCATGAAGGCTTCATTTAAAAAGGAAATGACCTAAATGATGATAACACGAAAGATGAAATCTTCTCAGCTCTCAATCATTCCATATTTCATTGAAGAGAAATAGAAAAACAACAATAATTAGACTTATTTAACTATATATGAAATAATATTTTAAATTCATTTTTACTAATTGCTAGTAGTGTAATGGGTAAACTTTATTGAAAATAAAATATGACATTTACAAACGTATCACAGTCGAAGTCTAATGCTTGTTGGAAATTTTGAAAAAAAGTAATAATTTTTATTCACTCTAATCTCGGGGAATATTATTAATAACTGGGAGATATTACAGACCTGCTCAGGTGTGCAATGCTCCATCAAATACATAAATTCAACAATCTGACAGAATCCAACTGTAACTGATTCATAATTTCGTGGAATGATTGTTTCGCCTGCTTTGAGTTGTGCTGCTATAGATCTAGCAATATATTATCATTTAAAACTTTCATGCAATATAATTTAATCATAAAAGTTTCTTTTCCAAAAAAAGAAGTGGAAAGCTTTTTTAAAGTTATTTTACATTGTATAATAAAATAATTTAAAAAAAAAAAAAAAAAAACAAACGGTGGTAGCATTTCGCAAAGTAAACGATCGGTTTGTTCTTGTGCTTCAACTAAAAGTGAAGTTCGTTCCGCAACGATATGTTCTAAGTCTTGTGCATATTTCTCGTTCATTTTAATCATTTGATCAACCAAGTTACCTTTTCTTAAAAAGTTATGATATGAAAGATTAAAAAAAAAACACAAAAAATAGTTTTAGTTAATATGATTAAGTTATTTAAAGTAACATAAACTTCGAACATTCAAGAAGAGAATGTCAAAAGTAACTTAAAGCATTTAAGAAAACGAAGGTGATACTTTAAAAAAAAATGTTAATATACTTGAAAAAGAAATGAAAATTTTTAAGATAAGTAAAATCTTTTGGTTTATTTGTTGAACATATATTCTTCCTTCAGCAATTATTTGCTATATTTCTGGTATAACAAATATGATTTTATAACAAATTTGCTAAAAATCTACGAATTTGAAAAAATTGTTCCAATGGTTTGACGAATATTTTCAAGTTTTGGTCGTTCTTCTGGCACTGAATTCCAGCATTGGCACATTAATGTAATTAACTGCAAAATGTGTTAACTTTAAAATTTCATCCGCTAAATTTACAAAAGAAAAACTACCTTAATGTTTTTTTTTTTAACTATTTCGAAGTTTTCTTTTTTTTTTTTCAAAATGATAGTAGAAAGAAAAAGAAAACAAAAAATTATTTATTTGAGACTAACCGGATCACCGTTATCATTATCAATCTGTGGTCGCAATGATTTCTGAACAACATTATGAAGTACTTCTGCAAGTTATTTCCTTTTGTGAAAACGGTTCATTTCTTTTTTTGGACAATTTCTAAGATTTTTATTGAATCAAAAACAAAGGATTATTTTTGGCCTTCTAATATTTATTAAAACCTTTCAGTGAAAGTCGATCAAATGGCTTAATTCGAAAAATAATTGAATAAAGCATCATTCCGAAGCTATAAATATCTCCAACAGCGGTTCCTTTTGGAAAGTTCCATCCAATTTGAATACCGTTTAATAATTCCGGTGCAACTGTGATGTAAACTGGAAACAAAAAGCATAAAATTTGTAAAAATCTATTTGAATATTTTTCAGATTATTAAAGTTTGATCTAATTTAATTCATCCACATACATAATGCTTGCTGTTGATATGGTTATGCTATTAATCATAATTTGTTTTGACTTATTCTATCTATTGTTTGTTTAATTTTTCATACCTTAAAAAAAAAAACGACTAACATTGTTGAGGAATTAATTCTATAGTACGTATATAATTTTGATCAATTAATTCATTCAACATAGTTGAAATTCCAAAATTTGTTAATTTAAGAACCCAGTTCGTATCAATCATACACGTTTTTAATGATAACAATCCATGATATCCAATCGATGACTTATGCAAATATTGTAATCCCTGAAGAAAAAAGTGTTAGTTCAATCCCTGAAATATGTGAATAATTTCAAAGTCAAAAATGTGATAATTTATTTTGAAACAATTTTTTACTCCTCCCATACGTTGTTTTCTCTCACTATTTTTATATTTGCTATGTTTGACTTAGAGATCGTTTAATTTTATTACTTTAGTTTAGGATGATTTTTATGTCATTTTTTTCACTTTTTTTTTTTTGTTTTAGAATAATCATTATCTTATTGGTATGTATACACTGATGAAAATTATTATTAAATGATACTAGTGATAATATACCTTTAAGATATCCCTGATAAATGCACACTTGAATGTATCATCCACGTTGAATTGTTGATCATAGATGAAGTCTTCTAGCGACGCACGTTCGATCAGCGTATGTAACACGTAAAAACGATCCAAATCATTGTAGCAAATTCCAATAAAATTTGTTAAGTTGTTGTGATTCAATGATTTCAATTCATAAAGGAATTTCAATTGCGCTTTATTCCATGGAATTCGTTTATACTGTTTGAAACACATAAATTCAGCTTTTAAAGTACCAACCAGTGCATATGAATCCAATTGTCGACGTTTATGACTTAAGTTATCACTTATTGCATGTTCTTTAGACTAAAATAAGTTCAACATTTGAAAACAAAATTTAATAGTAAAAAAAAAAAAAAAAAAAAAAAAAAAAAACAAACAAATAAATGAACGGACGCATCCATTTCAGCGAAGCTAATAAAATATGATAACTGTAAAAATTTTTTTTTCATATAAAAAGTTAACTGACCCGTTTTGTTTCAATAACTTTTAAATCCTCTTTTGAAATTTTCCACATCATTCGATATGCTTCCATATGCTTCCTGAAAATTTTGCCATTCGCTATATAATTCGTAATTCATAATTATAAAAGCTAAGCGCTAATTTTTAAATAAAATGCAAAATGCGTAATAGTCCAAAGTAATTTAAAAATTTTAATAATTATATCAAGAAACTATTCCAGCTGTAATTGTAAAAGTCAAAAAAAGAAAAAAATTGTATAAACTTTTCTTAAAATCCCATTTAATATTTATCGTGCTTGAAACTTAAACAAAATATCAGCTCCCATTAATGTTTTTTTTAGATTTCTAAATAATACTTGTCTAACCTAATATTAAAATAGCAAAGTCATCATGTTATTAAGTTACATTTCCGAGTTAATAACAACCGGCAGCATTAGTACACTATTGACTCTCTCATTTCAATTAAAATCAATTTTTCGACTCTTCTAAATTATATATTTCAAAATGACTTATTGGTTGTTTATTTACTTTTTTCTATATAAATAAAAGCCGATTAAGCAGAGCACTACGACAATAGCACAACTTATAACCACCATGGCAATAGTAGACAAGAAAGATTTCTTGCATTTAATGCATCTTGTGATGGTAACATTTCTGTATTTGTTCCAGAATTCGTCATTTGTAATTTGTATTTCCTGCAATGCACGCTTTCTCTTGTCCTTATCATTTAATTTAACTTATCATTGAATAAACAATAAAGCAAATAGATAAATTTAATTATAAAATTAAAAAAGAAAATCAAATGGACAACAATTTTATCAAATAGTTAATTGATAAAGATTGGTTATTCTTTGATACTCATTATATCTGACATGCAATTTTACTGATTTCTAAGCAAATCTGTTATTTTTAATTATTGCAAAATAAGTATAAGAAGTTTAAAGTAATCAAAAAAAAAAAAAAAAAAACAACGCTGTTACCAAATCAAAGCATTTGTTTCCATGTGTGCATTGAGCTTCAATCATTGATAATGTCATAACCTTTTGAAATTCATCATTTCTTGATGGCAACCATTGAAATGCATAATTTTGTAAACGTTTTCCTGCTCCATCTAACGTGATATTCCCAAATATATCTACAAAAATGTAAAATAATCTTGCTTTCAAATAGACAGTTTTAATAAAATAAAAATCTTGAATTGAAAGTTTTTAAATCACTTAAATAATCTTTCCTATTAATTGATAATTAATAGCAACAATTAATTATAAGACACAAATAAGATATAGTAAGCATACTAATAAGCATACTTAAAAAAGTTTCATCTTATTTGCATGAATAATCAAGAATTAAAAGCGGAAGATGAAAATATTTTACAGACCAGTGAAATGCTGATTTCTCATGGATTGAGCAAATTTCTTGCCATTCACAGCTGAGCTATGTCGTGTACCAAAGCAGAAACCATAACATGCATCATACATTGTCACATACATTTCTATTTCCTCCTATGAAGAAGAAACGGTAAATCTACAGTATCTAACATCTACAGTATCATACGCCTAAGCGTTGAGTATCAACTATCAGGCATTCAGGTATAATTTATATCATTAAAATAGTTTTTTAAAAGTTCAAATATACAATGTACTATGGCATTAGTCTCTAAGAAACAATTACCATAACCATTCTACCGTATTCTATTCCATTTTCCACTTTCTTTGTTGTAAAAATGTACCTCTTTTATTGTGAAATTGAACCGTTCTCTAAGCTTATCGACCATCACTTTATACTGTTCAATTATTGGAGCTAACTGAAAATGATTAGTAACTGTCAAAATCTCAAATCAGTTTGAATATGTTCCATTACTAATAAAACTTGTCTTTATAAGCTTACAATAATAATACTAGCATCAGCGACAATATGTTTAATTGAGCTTGTACATATTTCAGTAATTTGATTACATATCAAAATTATCATATAATGATCATCGCTGAGTGAAATCATTTCCAGATTACGAAGAACCATTCCAAGATCGTTGAAATCATCGCCAATAATGATTGCTGGAACAATTAATTATACGTTTTTTGAGTGTTTAATGCTTTAAATTTCAATGTTTTTCATCAAATAAAAAAGCAACCTGAAAAAATTATTAATTTATAGAATTGCAAAAAGTCGAGAGATTAAATTGAATCGTCCAAAATCACTGCTGATCTAATTAACGACAAACAAATAGTAAAAGAACAAAAACGAAATGAAATTGAAAGATTTAAAATAACAATGTAACTTTCCATTCATATGAGAAAAGAAAGGCTTTCTGGTAAGAAACTAGACTTTTTAGGCTTTTCTTTGTTTGTAATTTGCATGTTTGTTTATGGAAAAAATTGCATTATAACTGAAAATAGTAGAAAATTCGCTGTTATTTTTGAATGTTTTCCAAATGATTTATTAAATTTCATTCAAGAGTTCCATTATCGTTGTCTTTACAGATTTCTTGATATGATAACGAAAGTACTTACTACTTGTGGCTGTCCTAAGTTCTTCTGCAATAATTTTATTTTCTCTCAGCACATTTTCATCAATTTCAATGAATTTCTCTATGCTAAATGAGCGTTGTTGTTTTGCAGTTTGTTCGATTCCAGCTACAATGGAGTAATGGTCAAAGCTGCTTTCAGTAGAACTCACCAGAACTACCTGGAAGATTTACATTCTTTTATTTGTCAAATAGTAATTTACATTAAATAACTATTTGAAATTAGCTCTAATACACAAAGTTAAATTAAGTTAAACTAAAGTTAAAAATTTTAATTAATTATGCTAAGATAAACACGAAAGTAAAGTAGACTTGATGAAGCTAAATTCAAACAAAAAGAGAGCACAAAAAAAAAAAGGAAATAGATGTATTCTGATTATGCTACATTAAATTGCAAGTAAAAAGATTTAATTTGAAATTAAATATGAATTATGTAATAAATATCAGAAGATTCAATTTTAGATGTAATAGATTAAATTCAGACTTTCTTTGGAAATTTTTTATCTTCAATTTAAGATTTATATACAAGAATAATTTGGAGAGTGAAAGAAATGATAATAAGATAAATTAAATAAATAAAAAAAAAAGAAAATGCAGTGTTGTACCGAAGTAATATTGAGATAATCAGTAAGTGATTTTATCGCATATGTGAAATCAAGCGCAGATGTACGACCAAATTGAACAACGGTGGGATATAGATCCTGATCACTGATAATGGGATTTGTAACAGCTCGTATCATAACTGGAGAATTCCAGAAACGAGCTAAGCCAGCTATTTCTAATATTTCACTTTCACATCTCGAATTAACGAATGCCTTAAAATTGTTTTGTTAAAATTATATGTAAATTTTGATAAAACGGTCACAAACATCAACAAATGCACAAATGACAACCTCTACGTGTTCCTGAAAGTGAAAAGCTATAGCATTAGCTGTACCCTTTGCCGGATTATTTATCATACATGTCGCAGCATCTTGTATCCTAAATTACTATTTATTCAAACTTTTTTAAGAAACTTTGATAATATGCCAGAAAAGATCAGTTTGGAATATTCCGCAATCATTAAACGATATTTACAGATAAGAAATATTTGATGGATAAGAAATTATAATTTATAGATTTTTTTAAAGAATTTTCGAAATTTACAGCATTAAGCTTGCAAGACATAATAATTCGGTTTATGTCAGTATTTTTGTTTCTTATTTTGATTGTTTGTAACAATTTTTTTTCCTTTCAATTTTTAATACTAATTAGTGTGAGAAATAGTAAAAAGTTTATATAAGTGTACTGGATGATATTAGCAGTGCAATGTCCAGCATTTTGACCATCCTCTATGGCCATTTTGCATATATGCACAAGATTTTGATCACTTTCCAAAATGCCAAGCTTAATTGCACCACATAAGAGCGTAGATATAATAAAAAATAATACAATCATATTCCTTTCCATTTTTTGAAATAAAATTCAATTTCTGAAAATTTACCTCACTTTAACTTTATTTCTTAGTTGCAGTTGTATCACAGCAATCTGATTTGTTGGAAAATATTATAAACTCATGAGAAAATGAGGACATATTTGAGAGATGAAAAAAGAAATGATAAATTAGATTTGTGAAAAAAATTAAATCTTCAAGCACTTAATCATTTATCAATATAATTTCAAGTGAAATGAAACAATTTTTAAAACTGACTTTTAAGGTTTTAAAAGTTCAAAAGAAATGCTAATCATTTTTTCAAGAATAGATCAAACTTATCATTGTTTATCTTAAAAGTGATGAAATAATTGCAAATAGTTTTTGAAACAGTGATATCTTAAGATTAATTTAAATAAGTATACATTTTAAAATGTTTCAAGAAATAATAATATAGCTAATCATGTTAAGTAATGATATTGCTATTTCAGGATAAATAATAATATGACTGTTTATGATAAGTGTTGATATTAGTTCAGTTCAATTGACAATGTCTTCGAATTTAACACATTCATTTGTAAAATCGATTTCTAACATAAATAACAGATTTGAGAATTGACTTAACTTATTTTAATAACAAACTTCTATCTCATTACAATGGATGAGGATGAGCTTAGCAACGAAGAGATAAGCGGTGAAATACAAATTAGAAAATGCTCATCTTCATTAGTGATTTGCGTCGACTGGCTGCTTCATCAGATGAAATTGACAACTAACTTTCACCTTTGCATAATAACGACAGGTAATAATGGCTACCTTGAAATGAGCCAACTCTTCATCTCCAATTGCATTCGATTTACAGATGCATGCATGCATTCAATGCACTTCCATCGAATATATTAGCATGCAGCAGTTTTGCATGCATAAAGCATGTTAGCACATAGTTCCAGTTGCATCAATGATGATAACTAAATATTATACAAAAATAGCTGTATCAGAAGTATTAGTGGACACAGTGATAATGATGTCAAGAAAAGATATGCTCTAGTCTATCCTTTGAAAGGTTCAAAGGTTAATTAAAAGATCAGAGTTTTTAAAAGGTCTGAATATAATGCAGAAGTTATGCAGTAAACATTGCTAAAAACTTTATATCCAGAAATATGCTTGTTATTTCTTCATTTTATTTATTTTTTCAAAGTATTTAATTTTGATTGCAGAACGATGCAGTTAATATATTACATAGCTCCATCTAATTTTCTTTCATTTTTATATTAATCCGGAAAATTAGACAAAACATTTTGCTGTTCATCAGCATGAAAGCCTGTCTAATAATTCTTGAAGGTAAATATGTCCATAAATGACGGACTGCAGTTATTCTGATCTTATTTGCATTCCGGATTTTTCATTTACCTTATTAATATGGAATGGATTGCTTCAGATACTCAATTAAATCTTTATTGATCTTTCTCATTGTTCATTAATCCGTAATGCATATCAAAGCTTATATAGCTTTCCTGTTATTTGTTACTAAAAAAAAAAAATTAACCAGAAAATGCACGAATAATTTCAGATTTTCATTAATGTTAGAATATGGTTATTGTCAGATCGAAATTTTATGTAACAAAAAAAGGAAATGAAAAATTATATAAAATAAAATAAATTTTGTATTTCTTTTTTTTTTCAACTTTCTTCATTTCTTTTACTTTTTTCCATTCCTCCTTTTTCCCTTTTTTGAAAATATTTTATAAAATATGCTTTTTTCAATTTTGCAATCAATGTCCTTCCTTTCCCTCTGTTTTCCGTTTTGCTAACCTTTTCCTACCTTCAATAATTATTTTCATTGTCATTTCTATTCAACTTTTTGACTATTAAAAGAATCGGAAATTGCTTAGCCATCCAATCATCCAATCATTCAACCATTAATTCATTCATTCAGTACAATTTTCATTGTCAACATTTCATCGTCTCTTCCTCTTTTTCTAATTTATTTTTTCTTTTGCTTTCTTCCTTCTTTCTTCATCTAATAGTTTTCTCATATCTTTAACAGGTGGAAGAAGAAATTAAAAAGAAGAGGAAAAAAGAAAATACATCTAAATTCATCGTCACATTTTCGTTTTTTTTCAAAATAATTAACCTTTCTCTCTCTCCCATACACTTTCCCTCTTTCTTCTTCAGCAAGTTGAAGGTTACATTCTGTTTGCAAATGCAATTTTGAAAAAAAAAAAAAAAAAAAGATTAATGATCTAATCAGTCGTATGATAAGAATACATACATTTATGCTTGAATTAATACATTTTGCATGTTAATTTATTCATCCCATTGTGCAATTATAAAGTAATAACAAGAATTTAAATTAGATAAGCCATCACTAAATTATATTTATTTCTTTACTTATTTATTTGCTAAGCAGAAATAAGATAGTTCCGTGTGTGTGAAATGTTTAAAAATTAGTTTCAACTTTATTTTTATCAATGGCTTTAAGCGCAATCGTCTACTTTTCGCAAGATTTAATGATAAATTATTTTTAGAAATCGTATTACCTTAGCAGGATTCCTTCCTCTCTTATCTCTTTCTACATTCAATCGCGAAGTTGTCACATATAAAGGTAATTATAGATCATTTGAGTAGAAAGGCATTAAAAATTAGAAACCACTGACAGGCGGTAATGACGATGATCGCGACTACTGCGCAAGTTCAAGGGCATTTACACTGCTCAAGGAGAGATGCATCCATAAAATCATTCCTATCATACCCTTTCATCGATAATATTTATATATCAGTGTGTGTAGTTTTTTTTTTTTCTTTTTGTTACTTATTGATTTGATTTAATTATTTTGAAATAATTCCTTGAAAAAAAAAAATTATTTTTAAAATTTGTTTCTAAAATTATTTAACATATTTGTGATGACAAAAAGTGGGGAAATGGATGGTTTAGAAATGGAAATGGTAAATTATGATTGGAACATAAAGTACTCCTTCCAATGGGACACTTCTGATGTCAATAGCTTTTGCAAATATTTCCTTTAGGCTTCAAACAAAAGGTTTCCTTTTTATGCGATTGTGAGAAATGTCAACAAGGCGGTAGAAACTTGATGCCAAAAGGTAAGCTTGACCAGCGTTGACCTTTACTCAATGATTTTATTATATATGCTGAATGACTCATTACTTCAAGAAAAAACATATTCAAATGATGATGACATTGATGGAATTTAATCATAATCATAATCATGATCATGGTCAATAACCGTGATAGTCTGTGAATAATTACAGATTATGATTAATAGTCTTGATGGTTTCGAATAATCAAATCAACTTAAATATTTTTTCACAGGATTTCAAAAAAAAAAGCAAAAAAAGAAAAAGAGGTAGAAGACCTTACGACATATTATATAAGAATGAATTATTAAAAAAAGAAAAAAAAAGTTAATCTGTATAAGTTGTCAGTGAAAATGTTCAAAACAAAATTTTTAATTTGCTAAAAAAAAGTGATCAAATTTTTACTGAAAAGCAAAATTCTGGAGGTGAAATTTTTTAACTTTTAATTTTAAAAAATAAAACAAAATTATAGCGCACAAAAAAAAAAACAGTAAATTTTTTTAAGCAAAGATTTTCGTTTTTTTTATTTTTTTTTTTTAAATTAACTTGATATTGAAGTGAATTTAATACAATATTTTTTCAAATCAACTTGAGACTGAAGTAAATTTAATATTTTTCTTAATGCATCAATTATAGCATTATTATTATTATTATTATCATTATTTTTTTCATGAAGATAATGAAATTTAACGATGATTCTATTAACCATTTTGTTAATTATAATGCATTAGAGTGCTTCAAAATAGTATATTATTTTAATTTATTACATACTCGATGAAATGTTAAAATTGATAATTACATGAATGATATTTTTCATATTTTTTCTACAACAATGACATAAATCATTGCAATACCAAATGACAACAACAGATTTGCTAACATTTTCCCATGCACATTAACAAAATGAAATGCAAATTTGAGGTTGAAGTCAAGTGCAACATCGTTTGATTTCCCATCCTGATAATGCGCAGCTGCACAGGTGTGTGCATGTTGCGCTCAATATTTGTTTGCTGGAAGATTTATTATAGATACTTTACGATATGAGGTCGTGCCCTTTTCATTCAATTTTTCCATTCCAAAGCCTTTTGTTGAAGGCTAATTAAGTACTGCAATATATTTAATATATTTGTCTTTTAAATTTTGCAAAATGTTTTCTTTTATTTAGGCTTACATAGAGTTTGATTTATTTGACTTAAATGTGTTACAATTGTGAAAATAAATGCGAAAAGCATTGAAAAAGAAAATGAAGTTAAATCGCAAAAAAAAAAAAAGGCATAAAAACATCAAATGCAAAAGTAAGTAATGCAATAAACGTATTTAAAGTGTCACTCAAAGATACAGTTATTTCAAAATCTGTAAATTCTGAACAAATTTGCAAAATGTAAAAAAGATAAAAGTCATTTTGATTGATCAAACTACTATTAATATTTCAGTATTTAAATTAATTAACTAATAAAACAGGTGAGAAAATCTCAGCTTCCATATGATATTATTTTTTTTTTTAGTGTAAAAAATAACAACGATAAGATATGATGAAAAAAAAAAAATGAAACTATGATTTTCGTAGATAATACTTTGCCATTATTGACTTTAGAACATAAATATATTGCAATTGGAATTTGTTGTTGTTATTATTGTAGCTAGGATTACTGTACGTAATAATATTATATATATATTTTTTTCACTTTATGACATTTTATAATTATTTCTTTTTTCTTCAAAATAAATAGTTGAGATTTTTTGAATCATTTTAGACAAATAACTATTTTTCTTTTCAAGTATTTAAGAATAAAAACTATTCAGGTATTTAAGACAAAAATTCCATCCAATTTTAGCACTGCAATTGTAGCATGGAATGATAGTAGATATTAATTGAAATTTGAAATTTGTGATTGCATGAACATATTTTCAAGTAGGATGATGATGATTTTTATTAATATTTTCAGCAATGAATAAAGTCTCTAATCTAAGGTTAATTTAAATTGAAAATTACATAAAAGATGTGCTTGCTTTTATCAGTTATAATAATTTTGAAAACTTTTTTCTCTGCCGAATGATTCACCACACTTAAATTGCCAAAATTATAACTTTATTTTACTGAATCAATTGATACGCATTCTTTTAAATGATGCATAAACTAGTATAAGTTAAATTTTGGGGCTGAAAAAAAAATTCTGTTATAGATGGTGATGATGATAATAATATAATGATGGTGATGATGATAATGATAATATAGTGACGATGATGAAAGCATTGAAAAATCAAAAATAAATATAATGAATGAATATAATGATAATAATGGTTGCTATTAACGATAGCATCTGGTTGTTCCATGTGTTCTCGGGGCATATAGCATGAAATTGAGTGGTATATGGTTTTGAATTTAGTCATAGCTTCTGGTAGAAACGAGACCACCCGCTGCTCGGGAGCAGCACTTCCTGATGACTGCACTCATTTCAGGATGATGCGATGTTTGTTGCATCATTGAAAGCCACTTTCCTTTTTTTCCTCTTCCACTTAATATCAACAAAACATCCATCATCATTTGAATAACTGAAGCAAGCATTAATGAGCTAATCAATGACATTTATGCTAATTACTTCATGAAATATTCCAACAAACTGATCAGATAGATGCATATGCTTAAATATGTAAGCCATCATTGATCATTATTTATATATTTGGTCATTAGCTTGAAATTTCGTTTTGTTAGTGCATATTTAACCTAACCTGTTGATATCTTTTCAAGTAATAAATATTTGTGAAAGATTGTTGTAGTTACAATAGTTTTTGTTCGTAATTATGCTTTATCATTTTAGCATACTTTGTCAAAAATTTCGAATTACAAAAAAGTCATTAAAATCATTTTAAATTTTTAGAAATTTTTAGGATTATTTGCACTGCATGAAAATTTACAATTGCATATGAGCATTGCTGCAAAGAAATTAGAAACAATCACAAATATGTAAATTGAAATTTACTAAATAAAAATTTTCATTTATTTAACTAATGTATAAAATTAATTTTAAATTAAGGACAATATTTTTCTTCAGCAGAATAGAATTTCAATAACAATAATAATTGATCGCAAAAAGAGTCAAACATCAACTCGACTCATCCTGGCATTGTTAATTAATTTTGGATAATTTGATCGAATGCAAACGATCACTTTCTAAATTAACTGCAACACCGCCACTGGTATCTTTTCCAACAAAGATACCGCACAAAGTGGTTTCATGCAAGAATTGAACATTCATTTAGTCTTTGTGTGTTCACGATTATTAGAATACGGTAATTGTTGAGGAGATGGACAAATAATGAATGGACAAGCGGATGGACATTGATATTTTTGAACTAAACCATTTTCTTTTTCTCTTTTCAAAAAGACCGCAAATTGTTCGTCGATGACCCGCTTTTATGACTATTTGTTCCTTACATTTTGCTGCATCACTTTGCGCAAATTGCATATTTATGGATATTCTCTTCCTCTCATAAAATATATTTCTTGTTATTGTTAAATTAACAATTAATTAAATTTCAATAAAATAGCGAGAAGTATAAATTAGAAGAAATTGCTTGAAAATTAATCAAATAATTCAAATTAAATCTTTTGCAATTTTTATTACTTGTGTTTGATTTACATTATTACTGCTGATTACTTTTGTAGAGTAAAGAAAATTTTAAAAATTTTCAAACTTTCTGGTTTAAAAAAAGTTGCATTTATTAATGCTAATTAGTTAAAAAGTAAAAATTAGCAGGCAGGTGAAGATTTGAAAAGTAAAAATGAATCAGAAGCAGAAAAAAAAGAAATATTTTTATATTAAAAGAATTTTTTGGTTCTTTTTTTAAGTATCTAATTAATGTCCATTTCTCTCATCTTTCCGCGATTACTTACAATACTTTAGAAATTATCTTAATCACCTTGAACATAGCATATTTGTATTTACTCTCTGTTTCAAATCATCGTTGATTTTTTGATGCCTTAATTTTTAATCTGAGTATTAAAAAATTTACAGATGATTCAAAAATTTTAAAATTTGATGAATATTTGAAAATACACTAATTTGTTTATTCATTGTTTATTTAAAATATGGATAGTTATATCGAGAAAAAAATCTCAAACATATAAATGTTAGCAAAAAATTATTTGAAATATTATTACACTAAGTATTACAAAAAAAAAAAAAAAAAAAGTTGGCGTATTAAATTATTTGCTAATTATCAAATACAAAATTGTTTGATGAATTTAATTTTACAACCAGGTGCAATCTATTGTACCAGATGGATGTCGTAGTTGAATTATCGGAATCTCTCCATACAACAGAAATGAATGTTATGGATTATTGCAAATATGTGGGATGTAAATAAAACTTATCATATGGGTTTATGAAGTATATAAGGACACCTGTGCACTGCACCTGGAAATAATTGAGTAGAGTAACTGTTGCACATTACACCATATGTCAACATAATCATTTGTCATAAATTCTAATAATAACAAAAAAAAAAAAATGAATTTTAGGTTATTAATGGTATTTTTTCTTGATAAAAAGTATATAAGTGTTATAAAATTTATTGAAATTCTGAGGAAAAAATGAAATAAAATAATATTTTAATTGGAAGTATTTTTGGTCCATTATTTATTTTCATATGCCAAGTGTTGATTTACAAAATTTTGAGACAAGTAAATGTATAAAAATGATGGTTTGAGTCTAAATTGATTTCGAATAATTTAAAACAAGTTAAAATGAGATTGAATGAATGATTATTTCTAATTTTAGTTGGTTAGCTTTTAAAAGATCTTTTTTTTTTCCTCACGAATTTTGGTTTATGTTTAGTCACGTTGAATTGAACTTGGCTAACTTTTGGATTTATTATTAAGTGATGACAAAATGTTTTGCAGTGAAGATTTCTTTATTGATAAAACAAAAATATTTCAGAGAACTTAGAATATTTCTAACAACTGAACTGACATAAGCTGCAAATAAATCAACAATACAAAATGAGGAATAACATGACAATTTATAAACTTATAAAGTTAAATTTAAGTCTGACAGATATCAATCTTATATATTAAATTATGAGTCAAATTTTATGTATTTTAGAGAAATAATTTGAATTATTATTATATTTCCAATTATTAAGTTGCAAAACAACATTTTTAAGCACATATTTGTTTTCTAGGTCTTAAAGGTCGTCGTTTATTGGTGCTACGTAAATGAAATCGTGATAATGCTCTGTTCAGATTTGCGACGTCGATTGTTGATGAATGATTCTCATCAGTTATATTTTCTTGTGATCGCAATAACTCCTAAAAAATTTCTCATCATTAAATTAATATATTTTTTAATGAAACAACAACAAAAAAAAAAAATCTGATATACTTATTAAGTTTAAATAAAATCCAAATTAAAACAAATCAAATTAAATTTAAAATCTCGAATAATAAGTAAAAATTTATAGGAGATTTGAATTTTCACAATTTCTAGGCAACCTTAGTAACACATCTCAGTTTAATTCTCCTTCTTAACTTAAGACTATGTAACTAATGACTAGTTCTAGCTGTGAAATGAGTTGAAATTAAAATTAAAATTCATGATCAAACCTCAAGAAAGATAATATAATCCATGATATGATTGATAAGCTCCAACTCTGAGCATTGTATCACATTTTTTCCATGCGGTAACATGCGACGTAATTTAGCAATTGTTCGTTTATGTTCACGTCGTCTGCATGACACTTTATTTACACGACCATTTTGCAATGGTACTTCATAGCAGTTTGAAAATTTGCCTTGGGATGATTGTGAATGAGTGGAAAAATCGGTTGATGATGACGATAATGATGATGACAATGATGTAGATGGTGATAGTGTTGAAGGAGTTGATATTGTTTCTGTTGTTAATGGATGTGAAGATAATGAAGACATGATAAATATCTGAAAATAATTTTAATTCTTCATTTTTTTCAAAAAAAAGAGAAACAATTAAGCTCATAGGGATCGTTTACATAGAGTTGATGAAATGTAGTAATTTTACATATTACTTTTCATATTAGATATGATGAATGTAATTGAAGAGTATATGAGAATTCTAAGCGGTTTCCTGGAAATTTTGTCAAAAAACTTCAATGATCTAATGGAATTATCATCTAACATTGATCAGATAAGAAAAAAAGAGAATTGCTTAACATGAATAATTAATTAATAATTTGAAAGACTTTTTACTATCTTTTAAATATGACAAAAAAAAAAAAAAAAAAAGACAGTAAAGGAATTGATCGGATCACTTGGAAATGTTAGGATTATACTTTTCTGATAGGATAGAGAAAGGCACGACACATCAGTGTGTCATCGTAGATGCCCTTGTCTCTCCTCTTGTCATCCTGTCCTAACGGACTCTGTGAAATACAATGACCGCCCCTCAACTCGACCTCTTTTTCTTCATCATCATTTGATTCTAGGACCACGCCCGAATACATTGTGACATGGAAAGTGGTGAAATTTACTCGTCAAACAAAAGTGCGACAATCAACATTAAAATACATTTTGTTTTTGACAAATTTCAGGAATTTTTCAAATTAACAATTCATTATAAAACATTCGTGCATGAAATAAATTTTTGAAGCTAAAATTTTAGTTGAAATTAAATATGTACAATTTAAACCAAATCCACTTTAAGAAAAAAGAAAGAGAAAATATTAAAATTAATAAAAGTTTGAAAAGATACTAAAATAATAATTTAGAAAGAAAAAAGATTAAATTAATAAGTCAAAAATATTTTAAATAGAAATATGTTAAATAAATCAAATTATGAGGAAACTTGTAGAAAGACAAAAACTTCAATAAATTTATATATTAGCAAATATCATAAGGTTATAGGTTAAAAATGAAAAAAAAGAATGATTGGAAGTGCAGAAAAGATATATAAAGTCATTTGTACCAGTAATCAAATGTAAAGGTATGTGCAGTTGACAAGCAGAAAGATCATATATTAAGCATGCAACACCTGCAAAAGCCATTATGGTACTATAATATTAGCATAGCTGCAAATCCGATAATCAAAATATTGCAGTTTTCTGCTTTTTAATAGAAACGATAAGTTTAAAAAAGAATTTTAATAAACTTCTCTAATAAATTAGAAAAGATAGTTTTTATGCTAAATATCGAAATTAATCTGAGGAACTAAAAATAAAATTCAATTAAAAATTAGTGGTAGTAGTGAGTATAAGTATAAAATGCAATCGCTGTATTCAAGTAAATTAGTAAAAATAATTGAAGTTTAGCTGCTGCTAAGTTTACAATTACTTCAAATTAAACTCAAAAAGAAATAATGAAAAAAAAAGTGAAATTTTTAAAATTTTTTACAAATTATATGAAAACTGCTAAGTTTCTGCTTTGTTGATGCATACTTTTTTTTTGTTTCATAAACAGTGAACTAATAATCAAAAGTAAAAGTAATTAAAAGTAAGCTATTAACGACGGATATATAACGATGTTAAGAACTTTTAACTTCATCGACAATAAATATGTTACAAACTTGATGGAATAATGGGAATATGCATGACAGTTCATAATTGCAAATTTACGACACAATCCCTGCTCCTTGATGAAGTATAAACCTGTGTCGTGATTTTGAAGTACCTGTTGATGAACAAAATGTTGATCGGTATAGGTACTTTGATGTTTGTTTGTTCTTTTTTAGACCAAACTCTTTCTTTTTCTCTCCTTCCTTTCCTCTCTCCCTCTCTCTCTTTCTGTCTCTTTCACTTTTTTTTTTTTTTTTTGTAAACACCTGAATACATTAGATCAGTATTAAGAAGTACTTACCCAGATGTTACCTGTAAGCTTTAGTTATACCGACTTAATTCATTTCGATATGATTCAATTCTAACATACAATTAACCATTTTCTATAATAATATTCACTGATACTATCAAAAACAAAAAATCATATTATCATATCAGTAAAAAAATGGCAATGAAAATATTTTAATAAATGTTAAATTATTTCAAATTAGTATTTTATAATAATAATAATAACAATAATAATAAATTGGAATAATTTGATTTTAAATACAATTAAGCTATGTACAAAGTAAAATGTATTAAGGCCAAAAAGTATACGCCAGATGGATGACAACAGCAGGAGCAGAAGTAGGAGTACTGGTTCTGGCCTATATTATGCAGCTGTTAGTCTTCCAACAACGAAAGCTTTGGATTGAATTGGGGTCTGCTTATCATCATCTGCTCTATCCAACAAATAATGCAAACGGTACTTCATTTAAAATAAGTTATTTAACTTATTTTAAATGGGATTTCATCGCTATCACTGCTCATTCTTTCAATAATTTCATTTTTCTATTTGATAAATTTAAAATATGTGCCATAAATGAATTAAGGCTAAAAAGAAATGAAAGCGATGCAGCTGATAAATATGATAATGATAACAACTTCTTCTTTATAAGATTAATATTTCTTCAAACTATTTGAAAATAATTTTTGGATTGTAAATCAGCGCAAAACTATGCATCTAATTAATTACTTAGCAAAATATAATTCTCAATAAATTTTGCAAAAAAAAAAAAAGAAAAAAGAAAGAAAAAGAAAAGATGAATATTTTTAATTTAGCTTTTCATGGCTTACAATTAATTTGTTATGTCTGCAAAAAAAAAAAAAAGCAAATAATATCAATTTGTTAATTTACTATTATCGTATTATTTAAGTGAATGAATAAAGCTAAGGGAATTCTATTTAAATTCAAAAATAAAATATTGTTGTGATATAATTTAGATGCAAAAACTGCATTTGTATTAATTGATTTGTTACATAAAAATAATACTTTGATAAGAAATATTTCATTACTAGAATAGTTGTTAAATTCGATATTGATTAATTGATTTTATAAGATATTTCTGCCAACATATGCCAGAAATATTTCAAGATATTTCTTTTATACAATGCTAAATTACAATTTTTTTAAAAAAATTCAAACAATGTAGGATCATAAGATTACTAATATATTATTATGCTTCCCTTTAATATTTTGCATGTCATCAAATGATTGCCAGTTCATTAAATGATTTTAAAAATTTTCAATAAATTGAAGTAAAAGAGAAAGGGGGAAAAAAAAAGAATTAACAGTTAATTAAAAATTAACTGTTAAACCTTTAATTCATTTATGCAATCTTTTAATTGGATGCGGATGCAAATAAAAGTATCAAATAGTATTTATTAAATCAGCTGCTCTTCCTTTTCTGCTTTTTCCTCCTTTGCATGCTCGTTTCCGCACTATAACATACATACATGTAAAAGTGGCTTTGTGGGTGTTATAATTAGCGCAGGTGTCCGATTAGGTTTTGATTTAAGAGAAAGGATTTCTTGTTTTCCAGGATGACGTCTTTTTGCGGCTTTCATTCAAATTGGACACCCATAAATGGCCAGGTGCTATCTGTCTAGTGCTTAATGCCTTAAGCATACTACTACAATATAAATGCGTATCACTTTGAGACCAGCTGTACCAGTTTGCGCATGCTTACAATGGCTTACACATTTTTACAATTTAGCAATTAAATTAGACAATAAAATAATAAACCTTTGAGAGAAATAAAATACAAAAAAAAAAATAGAAGGAAAGAAAACACTGTGATAATTGTGACAATATTAGCTTAAATTAACATGAATGTGACAATATTTTATATATTTAGTCAAAAAAAAAAAAATTTTTTTTTTTAAATTTTCTCTGTTTTCTTTCTCTTACTATAAACCGTTGCAAGTTTAATAAATCTAATTGTTTACTTTTTTTCATCATTAACCAAAATTTTTGTCAATAAAAAGCTTATTAACGCATAAACAGCACTATTTTTAGTACAAATTAATAGGTACACAGGATGTATTTTCTTTTTCCTTTCTAATTTTCTAATTTGACAATTTTTTAATTCCTAATTTGACGCCACTATTTATTTCATCTCTTCTATTGTGTACAGTTATTTAAAAGATAGTAGTAGCATATTAATGGATAATAGATAATAATGCAGTAATGACCGCCCGGCTTCTTTGTCATTTTTTGCTAACTGGTAAATCCACGTGAGATCTTTTGTGTTGATATACACTTTGTTGTCACACAATTATCAATATAATCTATGATTAACAACAGAAATGGATTAACCTTTTATTTATCTCCCTCTCTCTCTCTCTACTTCATATCCATCCCATTTTAGGTTTATTAATCATAGTTCCCTATTTAATATAGGTGTATTCAAAAGCCGCCTTTCCAATTTGGCTATATTCAAGGCCAACTTTAATATTCTATGTGACAATTAAACATATAATTAATAAATTAGAATTAGAAAAACTGAAAGCTTATTTTGCTTCTTTTTTTTAACTTTCAAGTTGAAAAATGATTAATAATAATGAAAAAGTAAAATTTTGAAATTAAAGTTATATTTTATTGAGACCAAAAAAAGAAAGAATTCATTCACTTTTTCTTCTTATCCATCAAAAATGAAAATATATCTTATTTGAATGGTAACTGCTTCAGTTACCCGTAACAAATTAATTTTTTTTTTTCAAATAATTCGTGAGCTAATTAAAATGAGACTATAATGATTCCGAAAAAGATAACCTTGGAATCTTTTTTGATTAAATTTGGTTTGATGCGGTACTCTTTTCCTTCTTACGGTATTGATAGAATTAAAATCGGAATATTTTTGAGGTATGTTGTTGAACCGGTTTCTTTGCGGGTACAACGGAGAAAGTATCACATCGTATGATCATTTTGTGTGTCCTTGAGTAATAGGCACATTTGTCTGTCGAAATATACATATAAATGTTTATAATTAAAAGAGAAATAGATGATTATTTAACAGATTTAGAATAATTTCTTAAATATTTTAAACATAATGGCAATCGTTGATGTATTACAGTAAGTCT